TTTGTTCTATAATTAGAATTTAATAAACAATCTCTCTGATGATGCACAGGAAGAGAAATAATTCACCTTTCCTCTCTTGCATAGGCTTCTCAGTGATAACAAGAGTGAAAAAGGGAAGAAAACACTACATTTGACACTAGATCAAGTGCCTGTAATTGTGAATGCAGATGACCATTCCTAGGTACAGGGAGATTTCATTTGTATGCAGTGACTTCAAAGGAGGAAGAATACTTCAAATAAAACTACAGTACTAACTGCTACTGCTTTCCATAGCTGATGGAATACTTTTATCAGACAAAAAACGTACACTCTTCCAAAATAATTTTTAGAAACACCAAAATACACTTACACTTTCATGCTTGAGTGATTTGTTTTGTGCCTCACCGCAGGGCTCCATTTTGCTACTCCACTACTTCCCAGCAGAACATCTGGACTACTCAAATACATTGCGTGGCACATTAAGCGTTAATTAACACAAGAATATCCCACAATGGGTTGGAAACTTCTGCTGGTCTTTTAAGAAAGCACTTATTGCTAAAAATGCATGACAGAGTTTAGAAATGGGTTTAATGTCAAGCTAATATGAGATAGTAACAACAAAATAATGCACACAGCAGTGGTTGCTCACAACTTTTTTCGTGCACTTAATGCTAAGTGACAAATTGTTCTGAACCAACAAATATTCTGCAAGGCAGCAATCTGGGTCTTCTCCACTTTGAATGTTTCATTATGTTAGATGGTCAAAAAATTAGATGGTTTTGAAAGAACTATAGCTTTCTTTTGACAAGTGAGGCAGCCAAAATGCAACCACTGGATGGGAATTCTGCCAACTGGTTGAGCCTGTGAATTCTGACTTATCTATCTATCATCTATCTATCTATCTATCTATCTATCTATCTATCTATCTATCTATCTATCTATAGGTCAATGTTAACTCGAAAGGCCAGATTATAGCCTCTGTACCACAGAGGTTTTATCAAAACTTTCACTGACTTCTGCAGGCCAAGAACTTCACGTACCTCTCTTACAAAAGCACAGTCTGACAGTGATTTTAGGAGTAGAATGAACAGTGCTTACCTCTAAAACTTTGGATCATTTATGATCCAAAGACCAGTGTAATCAATACAAATATTTCTTTTGATTGCTATCTGTACACTGAAGTAGAGCACTGACAAGGATGGTATAACCTAAACAGTACAAAGAAAATGTAGATGCTCATTCAGGTAGGTATGTCATGCGGGTACAAAATGCTTTGCCTTAAAGGTAAATCACAGCTTGAGATTGCGGAGTTTCTTGAACAGGATTTTTACCATACAATATTAATGATTTCATTAAATATATATATATAATTATTATGCAGAGGATCCCCTTTTGACACAAAAAATTAGGCAGGCAAGTTATTGCACTAATCTTCCTGAATACAGCTTCTGATTTATAAGAACAATTTGTCTAATGAAGGTTCTGGAGATTAAAAAAAAAACCCTAGATATTTTGAAGTGTGATCTCCTGATGATAAATGAAGATGACAGAGTCCATTCTCTATGCTACAATTACTGCTCATCTCCAGAAATATCATAATGAATCCATCTCCACACTTACAACATTTGTTTCCATCTCATCTACTTTTGGGGTTTCTGTTCATTTCAAGAATCTCAGATGTCTTTTAAACAGAGAAGAAATAAAGGACTGCATGTTTTGAAATATTTGAAATAAATAAGGAGAAATTTCTTGACATGTTTTTTCATATATTTTACAGTCCAAATGCTTTTAATATGAAATGTTTTATAACTAGAACAGTTCTTGAATGTTAATCATTAGCATACATACAAGGGTATGCAAAAGAGCAAGGAAAATCCCTGAAAATATATTAGCAATAACCTTGTTCTTGACCTACTGGTTATTTTACTCTAGACAATCTCTACTCTCCATTTTAATTCAAATACTTTGATTAGTCTTCTGCTGTCATGATAGAAGACAGATATGAAGACTATAGCTACATTCTAGTATTACTAGAATTTTATTCTTCTGTATATATGTTCTTAAGAATAATGACTAAATCTTTAATTTCAGAATCAGTATTTTGAAATTCATTTGAATTTAGGAATTTTTTTTTTTTTTCAGTGCCTACTGACATGTCTGACAATATTCTTCTTGATTTAAATATGTCAGTGGAAAAAAAAAAAAAACCCAAAACCAAACTACAGCTATTTTTTTGGAAAAGCTTTTGTTCTGAAGCTTTTTTGGTCAAAATTCCCATCTGGGATAGGGTTAACATACCATGAGATGGGTTACCGTATCTGTGTTGTTCTCTGTCCTTGCAGGCTGGGTGCTACTGACCTTCATTGTGAGCCCACTGCTTCCCTGGGAGCTTGGGCTCCCTGTGCATGGGAATACCAATCCTATGGCATGTGCCTAGTATGCCAGGATTTTTTAAAAGGACTTCTATTCATTACATGTACACTACACAAATCATATATACCAAAGACATGAGAGCCCTATGCTCGGTCCATAGCAGTTCCACATGCAGAGGCATCGCTGGTCATTCTCTAGCTTTGTACCTCTCTTTATGAAGCTTCGTTGGCAAGCATTCTCACATCAATGTGTTAAAGGAATGAAACATTAAAAAATGCAGAAATTAACCGTCCTAATAGCAAATAATTAATGCAAATAAATGCAAATTCAATGCATTACCCTGGCATGGCATGCTAATGAGAAAACAAGCCATTTAGTCAATCAAGGAAATACACAAATAAAAAACATCCTTTTCTAAGGTGCTTTGATGCAGAAGCCTAAAAGAAATTAAATACTTCAACTGTATTTTGGGGGCATAAATACTATTTACGTAGTTTGCAATAAGAGTATTCTACCCTGTGTTTTTATTCCTTAAGAACCCGGCAACAGAAATACAACAAAATGCATTTTCTGCTTAGAAATGCTGTGGAAAGATATTTTTCACACTAATGTGAAGTTTGAAACTCACTGCAGAAAAAACCCCAAACAACTAAAATGTTCTCTCTGGATACTGTGTTGAGGGCAATTTTGCATTTTTAACCTTATCTAATGCCAAATGGTACAACCAAGCAGATTGTACTTCTCAAAAGATAACAAACAGCTCATCCTTCTAAGACCTGCTGTTTCAAACAATATTTGCCTTTTGCAGTGTGTACACCTGAGGACCAGTATTATGGGTCAAGCGTCAGATGGTAAGTTGCTACAGAAGATCCGCTGCCTCCATGGAAATCATTGCACAAATGTTTTTGCAGATTATAAGCACATATTATTAAACACACCACATATCAAGAAGGGTCAGAGCCCTGTGAAAAGTACTGGTCATCACCTGCAGTAAGAATCAGGATCAAGTGATGTAATCAAAGTTTCAGAATTAATAGCTGAAATACCAGGACTGACTGAAGGAAGGCACCAACATTGTTAAATACCACTGTGCATAGCTGCTGTAAAGAAGAGATAAGAACACCACCAGATACTATTCCTTTCTGAAGAGTAAATTTCAGGTCAGGGGCTAAAAGGTACCCAAAATTACTTGCTGTTCCTTTGAGCTTTTCACTGTTATCTGCTAAGCCTCTTCTCTGAACAATTTAGGATACTCTAATTACTTCATAAAACATTTGAAAAGGAATCATCTGAATATTTTACCATTGCTGTTAAATTGCATTTTACTCTTCTGCATCTAAAGAAGCAGAAGCAAATACTCTTACGTTGAGAAATGGACAAGCAGCTTGCTAGCAAAGCATATGCCTTCCCATTAGTCTACTACATTGTGGGACAGCAAAATGATACCACACTGAGATGTTAAACTGAATTTCAATCAGTAGCTATGACATGCTTAACCCAAATACTTTTCTCTGATCGTATTTTGAAATTAATAGAAATGGAATTACTACTTTTAAAGGAAATAATATACTTCCTCATAGATGAACAGTTACTCAGTGGGCTTTGTTACATGGGCTATTACCTTCTTAAGATCTATGTTGCTGTCTCCACAATACCTGCAACTATGCCAAAATATATGGCAGTTCCTCTATAGTTGATTTGGCAAAAGTAGAGCTTTTTAAGCACAGAAGTGAAGTGAGTGATGTAAAAGGGAACATTTACATACTTAAAATTAGGTATGTATCTACCACCAGAACAGAAGCCTAAATTTTCCTCTACTCCTGTGTCTCAAAGGACTTTGCATTCTTTCAAGTTCAATTTTCTGATTTTTATTACTACCTGGTATTTCCTAGAGATTTAAATAAATGATCATTGCCACTTATAGTGCTTTCCATTTAGCAGAAGGAACAGCATTCAGAATTTGCATTTGGAATCGTCTTCATTCACCTGAAACAATACAACTTGACTGAGCTTTCCACAGTCTGACAGACATTTCATCAGGTGAAATAAATATTGTATATTTTAGTGGACAAAAGGAGGAATACTCAAAAGCTATGCTTATTTAACATTATTTCATTACTTGCCATATATAATTATGCTGTATCTACACCAGCACATTTCTTTCTCTTCCTTGGTATCTTCTCCCCAGCACAACTAAAGGTAGGGGCGAGGGGGCTGTTTGTAAGTAGAATTATTTGAAGATCCAGCAGCATTACACATTTTCCAAGGTCAAAGAGAAAGATAATGGAAAAAATACAGTTAAACATTTTAAAGCTGCCATAATTCTATAAAAAGGACTGTGAATTCATGGAGGGAAGGAGATGAACATGCTGTTCACCTGTAGCTCTGCAGTATAATTTTCATATCAAGTGTTAATGACAGGTAACCTCCCTAGAGGTTTATTCATTCATTTTCTTCCAGGTACAGCATATTAGCCGAAGACTTTTCTGCACAGCCACACTGCCATGACGTGAATTACAATTAACGCTAAGCAGCCAGGGGTTGTTTTTTAGATTATTAAAGTCAGTGAAGCTGAATGACTCATTCTATGCTATTTACAGAAAGAAGGAAAGCAATTCATCACAGAACAGATGTTAATGATAGGTTACCTGGATCCCTATAGAAGAACGTCGACTCTTAAGAAACTCCTCTGCTTTTGTCACTAAAATGGCCTTGTCACTGGTTCGTATGGAGGTGCTCTGGCTCTCGGACGCGTGGCGCTGCGCAGCCGCAGTTTCCAAGGCGAGATTCATGGCCTTGTTACTGTCCAAACTGTCGGTGGAGTTGTACATCCCTCGCCCGTCCTGCGGCCACGGGGAAATCCTCTGAGTCCGGCTGTCGTGATATGCGTCCTGGGTGGATTCTGTGCTGCTCTGTGCCGTGACTGAGATCAGTGGCTTGGAAGTGGTACGAGGGGGTACTGGTGGCGGTGTTTTTTTGTAACTTGTGTAAGTTACAGCTGTGGAAAGAATTTAAGGAAAAAAAAAAATGAAAGGAAAAAGAAAAAGAGAAATCAAGATTAATCTGATGGAAACTTCATGACAAAAATAACATTAAGATTACGCTACTTAAAAATAAAGATTGTGCAACTAAGTGCTCTTTGTGAACCTCACTGTTAGTTGAAAGTGTCTCTCAGAGTCAGATAGGTATCCACAGCAACATTTTGTTGGTCACGACAACCCTTGGCAGTGTTACAGGCTCGGGGAGGAGCTGCTGGAGAGCTGCTCAGCAGTAAAGGACCTGGGGGGGTTGGTCCATAGCTGGATGAACATGAGCCAGCAGTGTGCTCAGGTGGCCAAGACGGCAAATGGCATCCTGGCCTGTATCAGGAATAGTGTGGCCAGTAGGAGTAGGGAAGTGATTATACTTGGCACTGGTGAGGCCACACTTTGAATACTGTGTTCAGTTTTGGGCCCCTCACTACAAGAAGGACATGGAGGCACTGGAACATGTCCAGAGAAGGGCAACGAAGCTGGTGAAGGGTCTGGAGCACAAGTCTTATGAGGAATGTCTAAGAGACTGGGGTTGTTTAGCCTGGAGAAAAGAAGGCTCAGGGGAGATGTCACCGCTCTCTGCCACTCCCTGAAAGAAGGGTGTAGAGAGGTGGGGGTCAGTCTATTCAACCAAGTAACAAGTGATAGGATGGGAGGAAATGGCTTCAAGTTGCACCAAAGGAAATTTAGATTGGATACTAGGAAGAATTTCTTTACTGAAAGGGTTATCAGACGTTGGAACAGGCTGCCCAGGGCAGTGGTGGAGTCTCCATCCCCGGATGTATTTAAGAGTTACCTAGATATAGTCTTAGGGACATTGTCTAGTGGGGGACTTGTCAGTGTTAGGTTTATGATTGTACTTGATGGTCTTAAAGGTCTTTTCCAATATAAGCAGTGCTGTGATTCTGTGATTTTATTTCGACTAGGATCAAGGGGTGGAAAAGGGGAGTCCCAGATTACAGTGAAGATGAAAGAGAGTTAGTGAGGATTTGTGTGTGTTAAGACTTGTCCTGGGTAGGTACATGCTGGGGCTTCTGAGGTTGTTTCCGCGTGGGGTAAAGCCAGTAAGAGACATAAAGGAAGATTTTTTTTTTTTCCTCTTGTTATCATCTGAACTGTGGGCTCTGTATTGCTACAGTGTATTAAAAAAGTAGCATCAATATACTGGAACAAAATAGTATTCAGAAACTTCTGCTTTACAGTATGCCACACTTTAACCTTTAAAAGTACTTCCAGGTGTACTGGCTGGAATTAGCCAAGACTGGCTACTTATACGAGAAGCATATGTTTTAAAAATATCCACAGTATGGTTAATAAAAGGAAAGTCCAGGCATGCAAAAAATGTGACAATACATGCAAAGTTGCTAGATACTTGGACAACATGCAAAAACTACAAGTAACACCAAAAGCAGTGACTTTTTACATACTATCCTGCAGTAAGCCTTAAATCCTTAGAACATACATATACCTAAATACAGAGAATATGGAAATGTAGATATAAAAATGGGTCTGAAACACTGGGAGAACTGGATACACATGAGCAGAACTCAGACTTTTAGTCTGATGAGCAGAGTAGGTCTGAGACTGGTTTAACACAGATTCTGTCTTGCTGGAAAAGGCTCAATAAAACATTCAAGAAAGCTCTACAGATGCACAATTGTGCCAAGACTGCTTCCTTGCAAAATTTTAGAGATTTCACAGAGATAGATATTTAGTCATAAATATCACACAGATGAATTTTCTAATTGTCTAAGCCACTATACTTTTTTGGTACTAGTAAGAGCATTTCTGTTATGGAATTGTTTTTGCCCCGAAGCACCGATAATAATAATTAACAAAATTAGTAACTGATACAAAAATTCATTGTGATATAACTTTCTGTATTCCTGTACAGAAAAAAATGAGTCCAATTAATTTCTTGTATCATTGCAGGAAGATTAAAAAAATGATTATGTTTCCCCTTATCAATAATGCTGAAATAGTATAATGTATACATTTAGAGACCAGGATAATAAATAACTTAAGGAAAACGTTTGCCTTTCCTGGTGGTGTTAAATGCATTGGACATTGCAACAGTAACTCTGATAGTCTTGGAATTGGGGTTACTTGAGATCAAAAGGGATTTTACAAAGAGTTCCTCTTCCCATTATACAAATACCGGCTGATGAGCAATGAAGTCAGAAGAAGAGCCTCTCCAGTCATGAGGCTATGGTACAGCTCTCTGGAGAGAACAGACCAGTTTAGGAATTTCCCAATACCTGGGACTGCTGAGCTGGCATAGCCAGGTTACCCTATGGGAAAAGTGAGCCTAGAGAAAACTACTCTTAAATTTTGATTTTTGATAATCATAAATAAAAGGGTGATCATAAATAAAAGAAGCAAGGCAGAGCTAGGAAGTTAAAACCTTCATTTGAAGTACGTTTTGAATTACTACTGATGCTGGTCAATTTTGGCAGAGATTTAAAGAGAGTCTTGCTCTGAGCTAAATTGCTCTAACACAGTGGAACATGTGAAAACACGCGCTTCAGATTCTGAGACTGCATGCTTTTCTGAAGTGCCGTTTTGTTGTCTTATCAACGTTATCATCTCCTGTCAGTTTTGTAACCAGCAGTTAAGAAGAAATTAAAACCCAATATTTTTCAGATGCTTTAGGGAGTCCAGAAAGTTCATGAAAGAATGGAGAGGCTGAAAAGCTTGGAAACTAAGACAAGTGTCTTATGAGCTCAAGCAGTGGCTCTAAGGAATGTTTCTACTAAGCTAGTTGCCGTAATACTGCTCCCCTACCTTCCCCTTGCAAATGTAGATGCAAGTGATCAAAGTACTGGGAAACATTAGAAATAGAGACAATAGGGTGAAACAGGGTGAGTGAAATCCAGAACAGGAATCTATTTTTACCTATAAGACAGGTTATCACTGTTATACCTAATTTACTGCATTTTTACCGTCTGTCCTCGCACTAAAGAATAGCAGCGAAAAATAAAACATATGGAAAATGTGATAATGAAACATCACAAGCAAGTATATCCCTACTACTAGAGCAGCAGATCACTTCTGTGTCTAATGAATATAAATGTTAGACTTCTGTTGCAACCCTTCATACCTAATTTAGTCTTAATTTACATTTCTAAAAAAGAAAAATTCTCCTTGTGGCAAAACCAAAACAGTCACTTGTTTTATTTTCTTCTTTTTTTCCCATGGGATTGAATATTTTATTCTGGAAATTTCTGATTGTTTTGGTGGAGTGACATTTTTTAAAGCCACCAAGTACTACAGTTACTGCAGTATTCTGGCAAGCATTTGATCATGAGCACTAAACAGGAATTAAAAAACCCACAGATGTTCAACAAGGAGAGGAAACCAGGAGAAAAACTGAAAGTTCATGAGAAACCGGTTACATATTTACAGCGAAATACGGCAGGAAGAAATCCGATTAATTTCTAAGCTACAGTCACAGAGATCAAATACTGAGCAGGGGATTAAAAAAGCCATCTCTAGACAGTTAATGGGTTCATATCTGGAACAACAGTTTCAGAGCCACAGAAATCTGGGACTAATTGGAAGACTGTAACAAAATCACGTAAGAGGATGGAGGTGTAAATTTGTGAGGCAAATCTTGCCACCAAATTCTATTTGCTTTAATCACTCAAGTGGTTCTAGTGAAGTAAATGGGATAATTTAGATGAATAATGTGACCAAGATTAACTTGGTATGTGTTGCAGACTTAAGAGATGAATACATAATAGATTAGGGGCTTGTTAAAGGAGAAAAGTAACCCTGTAGTCCATAGTTTAATGTTCATGCTTGGTCTTAGATGTCTAACAAATAAATATTGGTTTAAGGTCCAAGCATGAAATTTTATGTCACTTTCAAATTTTTTTTTCCATTATTACATCTGTGAATCTTCCTGATATCAGCAGCAATGTCCCTTTCATCATGTCCAATCCTTGACCCTAGCAGTCACACATATCACACATTATATATCTTAAAATCATAGAATGGTTTGGGTTGGAAGGGACCTTTAAAGGTCATCTAGTCCAACCCCCCTGCAGTGAGCAGGGACATCTTCAACTAGATCAGGTTGCTCAGAGCCCTGTCCAGCCTGACCTTGAATGCTTCCAGGAATGAGGCACCACCTTTCTGGGCTACCTGTTCCAGTGTTTCACCACCCTCATTGTAAAAAATGTCTTCCTAATATCTAGTCTAAATCTACCCTCTCTTAGTCAAAAAACATTTCCTCTTGTCCTATCGCTACAGGTTCTGCTAAAAAGTCTGTTCTCATCTTTCTGATAGGTCCCCTTTAAGTATTGAAAGGCCGTTATAGAATCTCCCCAGAGCTGCTTCTTCTCCAAGCTGAACAACCCCAACTCTCTCAGCTGTTCTTCATAGGAGAAGTGTTCCATCTCTCTGATCATTTTTGTGGTCCTCCTCTGGACCTGCTCCAACAGATCCATGTCTTTCCTAGATGGAAAGAAACATTTCCTTTTCCTAACAGAAAATAAACTTCCTCTTCATTTATCAACCTTTTCTTATGCTGATGGACAGGAGCTACTGTCAGCTGTGCATCATTCTCTACTTTGCAAATTTTATTTGCCTTAGTGATTATTAGTTCAAAGTAAACACATAAAACTTCCTCAGCTTCATGTCTTCCCCATTTTTTTTGTCCATCATTCTACAAACTCCAGAGGTGTGGAGGGTTTTGCCATCCCTGCAGGGAGGGCTGGTGCTGGGCAATGCAGCCCCAGGGTACCCAGTGCTGGCCAAAGACAATGCCCAAGTAACTCCGTTCAGGGCACTGGTGCTGGAAGCTGAACTGCGAAAAAGAAGACTGGGATGGAGGATGCTTGTCTTTCGTCTCAGAGGGACAATCTGGGTGTCAGAGCCAGCACAACGGCTGGGGATGAAACACAGTGGAAGGACTGGGGTGTGCAGAAGCAGCGCACCAGGAGGGCAGAGTTGTTGCAGTGCG